CTGATTGTTGAAAGACGTTTGTTACAATTCTCTTCTCTACCCTCCAGAAAAGGCCATTTCAAAAATATTTTGAATATTGAAGCAGAATGGAAACTGTTAAACTCTTTTAGTAGATTTCACTACTATAAATGTTATTGTAATAAGATGTTTGTTTTTGTCACTGGGCTCAAGGATGCTAACTGTGATTGTAAACTCTGGGCCATATTTTGACCAGCCTACAGGAAACCATATATATATATATTTTTTTTTTAATGGAGATATCCCATCTCCTAGAACTGGAAGGGACCTTGAAAGGTCATCAAGTCCAGCCCCCTGCCTTCACTAGCAGGACCAAGTACTGATTTTGCCCCAGATCCCTAAGTGGCCCCCTCAAGGATTGAACTCACAACCCTGGGTTTAGCAGGCCAATGCTCAAACCACTGAGCTATCCCTCCCAGCCTGTAGTTTCCTACAGCTGGTTCTGGTGGGGGTGGAAAGAGGTGCAAGGTTTGATCTCATGTAGAGTGAGTAGTGGAGGCATGGTTTTCTTTCACCCACAGATATTCTGAGATCTAAAAGGAAATGTCATATGGAGATCATGGCATCTGTTGTATTGAGAGATGAGACATTTATGCAGTGGTCCGGGTCTTCTGTAACAGTCTGTGTCCCCAGAAACCATGCACTTACAGGGTTTCTGCTGTTAGCCATCCAACTCCCTTCCAATATGGTGATAAAATCTGAAGAAGGGGAATCTCAGCTCTCCTCTCCCTTCCCAGCCACAACTCCTACCCATGTAACACTGCCCTGGGGTGGAGCTTCTCCTGGGCTGTGTCATGGAGCCACAACATTCATACATACACACCTTCTCCCATCAGTACCTCATAGTCAAGAGGGTAGAGGGCAAAGGCAATGCAGTTGAGATTGGCTTTTAGCTTAGCTGATGCAACATGGATACAATCATATTCTCCTTTGAAGAGTCCATCAGTCGAATATAGGATCCAATTTAAAACTAGGCAGCAGTCCTGTTGAACATATTAGGGATGACATATTAAACCTCCATAAACTCAAACTGTGCCTGAAGCAAGCTTTTTGGAGATCAAACAGAGCTTGGTTAATTTCTTTTCCCCTGTTATTTTTCATTATTTGCGCACCTGTGTGCTTCTGGGCTTTGGCTGGGAGTGGAAGAGGAAATGTCAGAACAGTGCCAGAAAGGCCAAACTTTTGCTGTTTTCTGAAGCTGGCTGCACCAGAAGTCTCGTGAGATTTCCAGATCATTTTTGGAAACAGATACCTTTCAAATAAGGATCAGCATTTGGTTGTTGACCCAGACTTTGAAAATTTCACCCATCACCATTTATAAATATATTTACATGAAAGGGAACTCTCTGGTGTGAGATAATGCTATATCACGTAACAGCCTTTTGTTGAAAATGACACCTAAAAAATAGTGAACCTCTCCAGAAGAACCTCATTAAACCTGGGTTCACTTGCAGCCTAATGGACTTGTTTGTTTAAGTATCATTTAAGTACAAAACACTTCAGAGTTCAATCAACATATTAGTCACACTTGGAAAACACACATTTTAAACTATGATTTAATATTTATGTACATTACACAGCCTTTCTATTAATTGCTTCGAACAAAAACATCCCTGCTCAATATGTAGTGTTCTGTTTTCTACTGTCTCTTGACATTAAAGTTAATCAAATAGCTCTTTGTGAAAACTCCTACAAGAAGTGCCTCTCCACAACATGCTAGGTTTGTGAGTCAGTTTTACTCATTGTAATAGTGCCCAAGACAGATAAGCGTTGTGTTTTTGAGATCATCACCCACAAGATCTCTGAAAGTATAACACCTAATGTAATTAGTTAGATATTGGCCATCATAAGAACAATATATCCTATACTAGACTGTGTTTCAACACTTATTGCAATTCAAAGTTATTAGAAATCAGTGGGAGTTGGGCACCTAAATATCTTTGAAAAGATATTTTCCCCAAATTCTTATTAAAATGTAACCGCTCACAATAGCATTACTACTAGAAAAGTACATATGATCGTCTCTGAATTATTATATTTTTATTACAGTAACATGTAAGACCCCTTTGTGCTAGGCACCCCATTGAACAGGACCCCTTTGTGCTAGGCACTGTACAAACACAGAGCAAAAACATGAAAGATATAATGTATTTCTGCTCTTATCTATTCATGATTTGTCTGCAAGCTATGTTTAAATTTATTGATTCTCTGAATATTTCTTGGTCTCTAATTGTTTCAATTTTCAAACACTGTACTCTTGATTGCATAGCAGATTTCCTTTCCTTGATTGGATGAGCTGCATAATCCTTTGAATTCAATTTCTGCTGTGACTAAAAAGTGTTTGCTTTTCCATTCATGTTCTTCAATATTCACTTGAAATTCATTCTCTGAACACTCCTGCTATTTTATTAGAATATTTGCGGAAAACAAACACCAAAGGTAGGGTTAGAACACAGCTATGCAAGCTTTTTAACTATGATGGAGTATTTGCAGAAGTTGTTTTTGGGGTTTTTTTTAAGTATTCAATCAGCTCTACTTATTTTCATGTTTTGGACAGTTGCTCTAACACTTGAAGCTACATTATAGGGATAGATTAAACACACTTTATTCTAGGTTTTTATTTTTAGAAACTTAACATTTTGCCTTGCAAGGGAAAAGTGTTTTCAAATGCACAAACCAGTACAGCAAAGCATGATGCACAGAACCAGTTTTACACCTTCCTTTTATTCCCAACTTGTTGTTGTTGTTGTTGTAGTGCATAAAACCTCCACAAATGTAATTTGGACAGTTTCTTTACTCTTTGATTATATGGGTCATTTAAACAGGTATCTCCCATTTACCCTAATTACACTTAGGTGTATAAATTAGCCACATACTGATTGGAGAATACATTTGTTTTCCTAGGGAGAGAAGTCATTCTGGATATGTATTTACTCTGTCTGCAACCTAGTTAATACAACAATCCAGCTGTATTTTATTTTCACAAATTATAAACGAATTAAAGTTTTCTGGACCTAGTTATGCAATAAAAATGAGAACCACATTTTGATAACCTCACAAGTCCATGGTCTGTGGAACACCATGACAGAACGTATTATTAAACATGACATATGCTATAATTGCTTGATGGCTTCACATGAGGATATCCATTCCTCTGGGAGGCTTTAGTTTCTGTGGTTTAGATATCATGGTGTGATATAGCTAAGAAACGTTCAGATCAATTCTACATTAAATTATTTACTTTTTTCTTGGCAAGAAACATCTTTTAGCATACAAGTGGCTTAAGACCATTTTTTATGAGAGTAGCACTGACACAGCAGGATTTGCCCTTTGTTAAGGATCTGTGTGTGCTGAGAAGTTGTGGACCAATGTCCAAAATCAAGTCAGGTTAGGCACCCCATGAAGATGCAACTTGGGGCGTGCCCTATGGGTGGTCATGTTGTGATGTAATGGAGTGATAGTCTGCTTACAAATTAAAGCAAGACCGTTGTGGCCTACAGACATTCTGCATATTGTCAAAGCATCAACAAGCAGTGAGGAGACCGTGCCTGCCACAGAAGAGGAGCCATTTCTTAAAGGAGGATGTACGTTATGCCAATGGCCACAATAACTCACACACTCCTTATACTGTTACTTTTATCAAGCAAGACAGCTTCTATAGTCCCCTACCTGTATGACCGCCCAAGGCCATTCTTACAGGATCCTTTATACAGTACCTAGTACCCTACTGCTGACCTATCACACACTTACGAAGAGGTGCAAAACCCTACATTATAAAGGGAACCAAACTCTACCCTTTGCCAACATGTTCAGGTAAAGAGAGCCTTCCCTTCTCTTTTAGTGGTGAAAGTTGGCTTTGCACTATGCCTCAGTTTGTTGTCCCATTAAGGATAAATTTTGCAGGACCCGCTCTCTGGCTTTTTAACCTCTGAAACCAGACTACTGGCGTTTTGTAATACTAGCGGAAAATATGCTCCATGCTAAATGTTTTTCTCGGGGGTCCGGTCTTTGTGCCCCAAACAAACAAATGAAGTGAGCAAGCCAACTTGTTAGAAAGCATGATCTCATCCTTCCTGATTCCCAGAGACAGTTTGCTCTGTCACTGCAAAGGTAAAAGAACTAGAAACAAAAATGCAAAGAAAGCAAAATGCAAAGACCACTGGACAGTTAATCGAAACTGTCGAATGGTCTCTGTCTCTCTCTGCCCTGTGCTGATGGGCTGTTTATGCCAACCCCCTTCCCTCCCTCCTCATAATAAATCACCTCACTTCAACTTCACTCCTCACCTGATTATCTTCTCTTCTCCTCCCATTCCCTTCTCTTCCCTCTTCGTTTCATTTAGCGGATCCCCTCCTAACTAAACCCACCCCCAAAGACAGACAAACAAACAAATTGTGGAACTAAGGGTATATCTACACAGCAAAAAACCCCACAGCAGTGAGTCTCAGAGAGTTAGCTGACTCGGGCACATGCTACAGAGCAGTGTAGACATTCCCACTTAGGCTGGAGCCCAGGCTCTTGACTCTCCCTCTTGCCGAGTCTCAGAGTCCGAGCTTCAGTCTGAGCCTGAATGGCTACATTGCTATTTTCAGCTCTGTAGTGTGAGCCTCACAAGCCCAAGTCAGTTGACCTGGGCTCTGAGAGACGCTGCTGGGTTGTTGGGTGGTTTGTGGGGGGTTTTGTGCTGTATAGACATTCTGGAACATGACATTTGCTGCCATCACATTTTCCACTCTGATTGTGTGGCCTACCCCTTCTCCCACCCTGTGTTTGTCTTGCCTATATAGACTCTTTTATATTTAGATTATAAGCTCTTTGGGGCAGAGACAGTTTTTCTGTTCTGTTTGTACAGCCTCTAGCACAAGGGGTCCTGGTCCATGACTAGGGCTCCTAGGCTCTATGGAAATACCCATAATAAAAGTAATAATAAACCATAACAAAAGCCTAGATTTCAGTGGCTGCTTGTAATTTTGTTTTTCCAGGTGCCTTTCTTATCCCTTATATCCTCTTCCTAATCATTGCTGGAATGCCCTTGTTCTACATGGAGTTAGCACTGGGACAGTACAACCGGGAAGGGGCTGCTACGGTGTGGAAAATCTGTCCAGTTTTCAAAGGTAAGTGCCAATTCTCCACTTGATTTGAGGAGAATGTGAGAGTTTTAAACAAGTCTGATAAAAATAGAAAGGGTCTATTTTCTTCTTTCTTAGATAGCGTGAAAGTTGATGGCCTATTTGATAAGCCCGCAATTTAAGGTCCTCTTGCGATCACAGAACAAGCACAACATGGGAAGAAGCAGGGGGATCTTCGAGGGGGAGAAGAGTCTAGTTCAGACTCCTCGTTCATTTCAGTTTTTGGTCTCTTTGTCGTAACTCCATCAAGGGTGCCAATTAAAGCCACTTGTTGTGGCTATTGTTTCTTGTGATGTAAACTTCTCGTGTTAAACTCTTTAGAATCACAGGTTCAAATCCCAGCAAGGTCCAGTGAGACCATTACACTTCTAACATAGATAGATTAGGTTTACCATTCAGTTTATTCTCTAGGGTTTTCTTTTTGAGGCCTTGAAAGCCAAAATGTTACTGGTTTTGCTGGGGGATTAAAACTCCAAGGGCACTGACTACTGACTATGGCCCAGATCCTCAAAGGTATCTAGGTCCCTAACTCTCATTGGAGTTAGGTGCCTAAATAGCTTTGAGGGTCTGGGCCTAATGGTCTCTTCTGCCCCTACTGTTACATTGCACACTGAGTACTAGGTGCTTACATTTTCTCCATCAAACAGGTGGCTGCATTCCAGTGGCAGCTTGTGTGGGCATGTAGATAATTGTGTGGGTGTTGAGCTATATAGTTCAGTGCTTGTGGCATCCTTCAGGATGTAAGATGTGATATGCTTTCAGTGTAAAATATTAATACTTTATAAGGACCCATCAAAAAAGTGCCAACTGGCAATGATTTTGGATTGCTACCATCCTGTACCTGATTGGATCCATCTAGCCTTCTAGGTGAAAGATTCTGCAATTCAGAGTGGTGTGAAATGACTGAAAACTAACCCAAACCCACAACATATGTGCTCACCAGGCTTCTTGGTTTTCTTAGAAGCATAAAGTCCAGACAATGTTTGTAAAACGATTGGTGAAGGGTAATGAGCTTCCCAGTGGCAATCTCCTCTTGCCTGAACTGGAGCTTGACTATAGGTTATCTTGAGCTATTTTTAGGCTTTTCTGGTTGTGTTGAACTCTTGTAGAGTTTTCCTTTTTGTGGGGGTTGGGACTCAAAACCCGGAGAAAAGTGCAGTTTTACTGCATTCTGTTTTGAGATCTTGCTTTCAATCGCAGCAAAACTCATAGTGAAGTTCGAGATGAACAGACAAGCATAGACAGACACCTAATTAAAAGTATGCATGAAATCTTTCAAAATATAACTGCTTAGTTTTTCCCATTTCTGTTGTTATCCTGTTACTAAACCCATGAGCGACACTCCTCCTACCCCCAGCATCATGACATCCTTAGTCAAAAAAATTCTCACTGATGTTAACTAAATTTTTTTTTTTTTTTAATGGCAATGGGAATTTTACTTGTCAGGAGTGTAAAATCTGGCTTGGAGGATCTCACAACGTCTGATCCAAAAACCGTTCAAGTCAATAAGAGTCTTTTCACTGACTTCAGGCATGACAAGAAGATGAGAAAGGAAACAATGTTTATTTCATGTTTAGGATTTCATGTAGAGGCCTGTTAACAATCCAGCTGTTTTTTAAGCTGAGATTTTCAAGTCTGCCTAAGTGTGCATTAGAATCCATTGCTAAATGTTTGTGTTACTGAGTAGTACAATACAAGGGACATCAAATATTGGATTCTAAAATAATAAGAAATTTTATATTTTAAATCCCAGCAATGGGATACTGTTAGTAAAGCTTCAATCACAGCTTCTGATAAGATGCATAAATATATTTCAGTACTTTGTTAAATACACCAGAGTTCTTTCGATATATCTTTGGGTTAACTCAAAGCTGTCACTGACATGAAATGTGCATGGTCTACCCTCAAATTTATAATAGTTTCTCCAAATGAAAAAGCACTATGGTGCTAATTTTAGCTCTGAATAATATTGCTATGAAACCTAAGACTCTAACCTTAATGAAGCACTCCCATAAGGCAAGGGATCAAAAATGTATCTTGTAACCTTTCCAGCACAGCCCATTTGCATCACAAGACTTTACAGGGTTTATATTAGCAGCCTGAGTGGGACAAAGTTAAAATAAATAAAAGGATGGATCCAGAAACAATGGAGCAAATTCATGCCTGGATTTATCCTATTGTTGTCAGTGAAGTGACCCCAGGGATAGGTTTGGTCTAGTTCCTTTGAATTTTCACATTAAATTGCAACCATCTTCTCTCCAGAATTGTGGAAACAGCATATGTGTCTGGGGTGGTTTTAAAAAAAAAAATTTCCCCCATTTCAATGCAGTATACAGTCTTTGTGGTGTTTATGTACATTCTAACATACATCATCTAGGGAGGTTTCCACTGCTTTCCTTACTATCATTTATCAATATAGTTTCACTGCCAACATGCAGAAGCCATCCAAGCCCCATGATTTTTAAGACAGTTTCAAGTTTGTTTTCACCACTTTTTGCTAGAAGTCAGAGAGAAACAAACTGATTCCTATGTAAAACATTAGTTAAATTTCGCCTGACAAACACAGAGCATGCTTGACACAATTTACTCTTAAGAGTGTTGCCTCCTAAGGAGTTGGCAGCTACTCCTTACATGAATTTAAAACCTCTTTCTATTACATAATGGAACAATATTCTTGTAGCAGTTTCACAGACCATCTCCCCAAGTCCCTGGTACTCGATTTACAGCAAGCTGTGTCTTCCTTGGTTTGTCAAGGTGCATAAAAACCTGGTGGCATGTGATTATTAGTGAGAATCTCATGCCATTATTAGCATCACCTTTCTGGACGGACTAAAAGTAGAAATGAAGGCTTACACTTAGGTATTGAGATACCACAGTGATGCTGCCTGTATAAGACTGGATAGAATTCACCTATTAGAGATAATCCAAATGGCTTAAATGTAGAATTCGTTAAACACTGCTGCCCATAGAAGAAAGAAACTGATGGCACTGGCTGAAGCAGAGCAAGCTTCTTTGCCCAGTTCTGAGAATGAACCTCCACTCTGACCTGCTGTTAGTACCAGAGTTCCCTCTTAGAATATGTGACAGTGATGAATTACTTACAAGGGTCTGTTTTCATGGTGAGAACAAATGCTCACTGAAGAAAGTCTGCACCGAAACTCCAAACACACCTCACGATATTCCAAAGAAACCCAGATCTTCACGGGCCAATAGGGAATGTGCAGGGTGGAGTTCAACCCAGGCTGGAGGGCCCATACAAGGCCCTGCATACTATTTAAGGATTTAGGGTTAAGTTCTGCTCTTAGTTACACTCTGCCAACCCATTGAGGCGATACAGTAGCATGGGGTGAAAGTCAGGGTAAAATTTTGCCCTAAGGTTGAAATTCACCATGGTTTGAAGGGTCAGCCGAATGTCTGGGACCCACTTAAATACCTCACTGGGGGTTCCACAGTCTCCACACACCTTGCATAATCTGGAATGAGTTTTCATGTTAGATTCATGTAAACCAGGGCAGAGAATGGCAATGGGGATACGCCAGGAGAGGAAATCAGTCTGTAGTCACAATACTGGTTGCAGGTTGGGATGGGCAGCAGCCACTGTTGAAGCCCACAGATGGGTACAGCAGCTGTAGGGCTACTTCACTGCAGCCCCACGCTCTGGCCTTAACTTTATGGGGAGGGAGGTGGATTACACTGAACCTGAACTTTACTCAGGTGAAATGAATGGCCCTAGTAACATAGGGCTTACAGCCCTCTGCCCTGGGTGAGTTTTCCCCTACGAATATAGAGCTGGATCAGAGCAGAGCTTTGTCCTTTAATAGCAACATTTCTAGTTTCCAGCAAACGCAACAAGCTTTATTAAACACCAGTCAGTTTCATGGAATTATTATTTTTAACGGTCAGTTTGTGTGTCCAGCCACTATATTTATAACCCTTTGCTAAGTCCTTACAAAATACTAGGCAAAAACAAGTGTGTGTTTAGGAACTGCCCTTATCTTAAAAAAAAAGCATGGTTTAGCTTTCAGGCAATACGGTTGGAGTATATTGTTGTATGTGAAATGCAATGTATAATCTAGTTTTCCTTTGTCTTTAGGTGTAGGCTATGCTGTGATACTCATAGCTCTTTACGTGGGTTTCTACTACAACGTTATCATAGCTTGGTCTCTGTATTATCTGTTTTCATCATTCACATTTGAGCTTCCCTGGACAAACTGCGGCAACAGCTGGAATAGCCTAAACTGTACAGATCCCAAACTCTTCAACGCCTCGGTGCTTGGCAATGGCACCAAGTACTCCAAGTACAAACTCACTCCTGCTGCTGAATTTTATGAGTAAGTGTTGAGTCGCCTTTGCTGTTGCTTCAAATTTCCAGTTTAGTTGAGGTGTTTGTTCATATGTCTCTAAAAGTCTCTCTCTGATGAGCGAGCATGGCCTAGGGGACAGAACCCTAGACTACGAGTCAGGAGACCTGAGTTATACACCTGGCTGTACCACTGACCTGCTGTGTGACTTCAGGCAAGTCACACTTTCCTTCTGTGCCTCAGTTTCCCCAGTTCAGCTAAGTGATGCCACTAAGTGATGTGGAGTCAGAGACAAAGCACAAAATCTCTGCCCCACCCCCCACCCATGTGCAACTTTTTTTTATTCTACACCAAGGTGACACTTGTGTTAGGCAAAGGAATAATACATGCAGAATAAAGCTGTCTGAATAGTTTGAAACTAATCATTTACCCAACAAATTTTGCTTCTCTGCTTACCAAATATCTCTGAGCAGATCTCTTTTTCCTTTGCTGCTTCAGCAGCTCGGTGAAATGGGATGAAGCGCAGCGCAGGGAGGAGATGGTAGCAGTTGCAAAACACAGGGCTTGATCCTGTTCCCATTTAGGTGAAACGGAGTTCTGCTGTTGATGGTAACAGGAACAGACTCAATCACAGAGGCAATCGTTAGGCTTTGAGACACTTCAAACTAAAAGTCCTTTTCGGGTGTGTAATGGTAACAGGACCTATTGCAAATGGGAATATGAATGAATGATGAAAATACAAAACAAGAATGTCTGACATAGTAGAGCATAAGTCTCACGATTGGGTTCTGGACCCCTCTCCTCTTCCAGGGAAAGATGTGATTGGATTAGTGAAAGGGGAGCACTGGCTGGACACCAGACTAATCTCATCAACTGCTAAATTGGTTCAGATTATTAATTAGTATTTCTGTTTTGTAATTGTAACCATGGCAATGTATATTTATCTAGTGAGCACTGACCATGTTCTCAACATTGAGAACAGTCGTCATTCCTCCCACCAGCAGCCTAACCTGTTCAGTGTGGCATACCTGGCTGGGCTACAGTTGGGATCTTGTGGGTCCATGGTTACTGCACTGACACATTAATGACTCGTTTTTCCTCTTTAATGTTAGTAAATTTGAAAAGTTGGGAGTGACATACAGTACAACCAATGGGAGAAGATACAGGTTTGCTAAATTCTATGCTTTGCAAGAGTCTGAGTAGCTGTGATGGTGTAGGAACTTGATACAATGCTGAGTAATGTCAGCCAGGAAATTGGCTTCTTCCCTACAGAAAAAACACACTTCTCTTAGTATTGTGGTTAATTACAGCAAAAAGATGCAGTAAATATGATACACTGTAGAATATGCTATTGGGGTGAAAGAAGAGGAGATCTGAACAATCTGGGAACACTTCCAAGTGGTAATTACACAACTTCTAATGTTAATGTCATTTTAGAAAAGTTTCCTTTTAAAACTTGTGTATATTCTTGGAGTCTGATTTTTAAAGGTATTTAGGTGCCTGATTTCCGTGGGAGCTAGGCATCTAATTTGGTTTAAAAATCTGGCCCTCAGACTTGTTACAACAATCATCATAGTCATCTTACTTGCTCTGTCTACTTCTATATTGCTCACTAATTGACTAGTAACCTTTGAGTTCGATCCATTTTGCCATCATATCTTATTTAGAGTTAGGAATTGTTGTGGTTCTCTCTGAATAAAACACTCACCATTCTTCTAGGTGGTGTGATATCTGACACCTTTCAGCCTGAGTGAACTTTTACTGCTCTATGAAACACAACTCAACTTGTGACTCTGCGAAAACACAAGACAAAGTCAAGAGATCTGTGTTCTCAGCTCTGCCAAGTAATGTACACCTCTGGTGGGATTCTAAAAAATGCCTAAGTGAATTAGGAACAAACATTGCATTTGCCTTTCCCTGGGATTCATAGTCCTAAAACTTGGGTGTTTTTGAAATCCCACTGCCTGTATTTACTAAGAAGTAGATTATAAAGCTGTGACGGGTTGCAAGTGATTTTAGTGGTTTAAGGTTTGTTGTGTTGGCCACTGTGTGATCTGGATAATGGTAAGAACAGTTATTTAGGGCAATAGTTTTGCTGTGGGAGGTTTCAATCTCTCTTTTGTGTTTGTCATATGAAGAAACATTGAGCTCTCACTGGGGAAAATAGAAAAGAAGCAAAGATCCGTTCTGTGATCAGAGCATCAGCGAACACTGCTACAACTCCTATCCAGCTTCCATATTTTTAAAGCAGGCTCTAACGAGGCTGCTGTGGTGGCACATAAAGGGGACAAACCTAGGTGTAAGCTCTACACTCTTTTGTGCCACTGCTGCTTAGAATCATAGAAGCATAGGACTGGAAGGGACCTCGGTAGGTCATCCAGCCCGGTCCCCTACACTCATGCTAGAACTAAGTAGTAACTAAACCATGCCTGACAGGTGTTTGTCTAACTTGTTCTTAAAAACCTCCAGATGGAGATTCCACAAACTCCCTAAGCACTTTATTCCAGTGCATATCTATTCTGACAGTTAGGAATTTTTTCCTAATGTCCAACCTAAACCTCCCTTGCTACAATTTTAAGCCTATTGCTTCTTGTCCTATCCTAAGAAGTTAAGAAGAACAATTTTTCTCCCTCCTCCTTGTAACAACCTTTTATGTACTTGAAAACTGTTATCATGTCCCCTCTGTCTTCTCTTCTCCAGACTAAACAAACCCAGTTCTTTCAATCTTTCCTCATAGGTCCTATTTTACAGATGTTTAATAATGTTTTTTGTTGTTCTCCTCTGGACTTTCTCCAATTTGTCCACATCCTTCCTGAAATGTGGTATCCAGAACTGGACACAATATTCCAGTTGCAGCCTTATCAGCACAGAGTAGAGTGGAAGAATTACTTCTTATGTCTTGCTTACAACACTCCTGCTAATACATCCCAGAATGATGTTTGCTTTTTTTGCAACAGTGTTACACTGTTGACTCATATTTAGCATGTGATCCACTATGACCCCAGATCCCTTTCTGAGGTACTCCTTCCTAAGCTGTCATTTCCCATTTTGTATGTGTGCAGTAGATTGTTCCTTCCTAACTAGAATACTTTGCATTTGTCCTTATTGAATTTAATTCTATTTACTTCAGGCCGTTTGTCCAGATCATTTTAAATTTTAATCCTACCCTCCAAAGCACTTGCAACCCCTCTCAGCTTTATAAGTGTATTCTCTCTATGCCATTATCTAAATCAGCAGCTCTCAAACTTTTTTACTGGTGACCCCTTTCATACAGCAAGTCTCTGAGTGCGACCCCCCCCCCCATACATTAAAAACACTTTTTAAAATATTTAACACCATTATAAATGCTGGAGGCAAAGCGGGGTTTGGGGTGGAGGTTGACCGCTTACCACCCCCCATGTAATAACTTCGCGACCCCCTGAGGGGTCCTGACCCCCAGTTTGAGAACCCCTGATCTAAATCATTGATGAAGATATTGAACAGAACTGGACCCAGAACTGATCCCTGCAGGACCACTCAATATGCCCTTCCAGCTTGACTGTGAACCACTGATAACTACTCTCTGGGAACGGTTTTCCAAGCAGTTATGCACCCATTTTATGATAGCTCCATCTAGGTTATATTTCCCTAGTTTGTTGATGAGGAGGCCATGCAAGATGGTATCAAAAGCCTTACTAAAGTCAAGATTTACCACATCTACCATTTCCCCCATCCACAAGGTTTGTTACCTTGACAAAGAAAGCTATTAGGTTGGTTTGACATGATTTGTTCTTGACAAATCCTTGTTGACTGCTACTTATCTTATTATTTTCTAGGTGTTTGCAAATTGATTGCTTGATTATTAGCTCCATTATCTTTCTGGGTACTGAAGTTAAGCTAACTGGTGTGTAATTCCCTGGGTTGTCCTTATCCCCCTTTTTATAGATTGGCACTATATTTGCCAGGGTGACCAGACAGCAAATGTGAAAAATCGGGACAGGGGTGGGGGGTAATAGGCGTCTATATAAGAAAAAGACCCAAAATTGGGACTGTCCCTATAAAAATCAGGACATCTGGTCACCCTAATATTTGCCCTCTTCCTGTCCTCTGGAATCTATCCTGTCTTCCAGGAGTGTTGGAAGATAATTGCTAATGGCTCAAATATCTCCCCAGTCAGCTTGTTGAGTATTCTAGGATGCATTTGATCAGGCCCTGGTGACTTGAAGACATCTAACTTGTCTAAGTAATTTTTTATTTGTTCTTTCCCTATTTTAGCCTCAGAGCCTACCTCATTTTCACTGGCATTCACTGTGTCAGACACCGATTGCTACTAAATTTTTTGGTGTAAACAAACAAAAAAGGGCAATTAGCATTTCCACCATTTCAACATTTTCTGTTATTGTCTTTCCCCCCTCGTTGAGTAAGGGCCAACCCTGGCCTTGGTCTTCCTCTTGCTTCTAATATATTTGTAGAATGTTTTCTTGTTACCCTTTGTCTCTAATTAGTTTAATCTTTCCTTGACCTTTCTAATTTTGCCCCTACATGCTTGCGTTGCATGTATGCTTAGCAACAAAGCTGGCTTAAATAACTAGTTGGAGATGTGGAATAGGGGAACCCCTGCAGTCATATGACTGGCAGAGCTATCTGTATACCTTCTGCTCTTGGCTCCTCCCAGCATAGGGGCATTCCAGGGGCTGAGGTCAGAGAGCTGTACTCCAGCACCCCTGAGACGGTAGAATGGCTCTGGGGAAAGAGGGGAGGTCCTATTTTAACTGAGGCAAGTTCCAGAGCCGTGAGGCACCACTGACTTAACTGGAGCTGATATGCATCTCCTGAGAATCTAGTTTAGTGGGGGGAAGCTCACACAGTTAATTGGTTTGCACAGAAACACAAGCTGTCATTTCCCAGCAATACAAGTTAGTAGATAATTTTGGTTGAACTCTCCATTTATGTCTGCTTAATACCATGTTTCATTAGACAAATTCTGGTTCCAATCCTCCAGTCTCCAAACAGGCAAAATTCCCATTGACGTCAATGGGAACTTTGCCTGA